TTCTTACTTTAAAAATATAAAAGTAAAAATATTCCTCATTTCCTGGTGCGCTCACGAATCATTATGCGAATATCCGAAATTTTAAAGCCTGAAAACATATACGCGGCGCTATTTTTAAACGATATTTTTAAACTGCGATATTTTTAAACTGCGAACTTTTTTAACCTCTTTGTTTTCGATGACGATGTTCTGTACCACGATGTTTTAGAAATGCAATGCTTTCTCCTTGCTTTCTTTTATAATAGGATGTTTTGCACGACGACGTTTTCGCTTTCTCTGCAACGTTTTCGGCAGGCACCAAGACGAACTAACAATATTCATTGAGTTTACCGGTCGGCCGTTGAAGCCAGAGAGCTTTTGGAAAAATCAAAGTTGTAATAGCGTCAGAAAATATTAACTGGAAATCCGAATGAAATTTGTAATATTAAATGGCTTATTTGAATATTTCTATTTTTTGTTTTAAAGATTGTTATGAAAATCTTTCATAACAAATTTGTCATCCTTTATCATTTTAAAGTACGGAAGTTCTTATTTGAATTCAAATGTTCAAATGTAATGTAATGAATTAATTTTAATGAATTCAAATTTTAAATGAATGTAAGTTATAGGTAAATAGTTATCTCAGAAGTTCTGTAAAATAGACATTATTTAATTCATTATTGTAGTAAAATATAATACGTAAAACTCTGTTAAATACTTACAAATATCACATCATAGAATATACTCTGTGATAATATAATTTAGGATTTTAGACACGGAGGTTTGAATAGCATATAGTTTCATTATTACCTTTCCTTGCCTGGTAGAATCTCAACTTCGATGTGAAAAACTGAAGATAATATTACAGCAAATATTTAAAATAAATTTGTGTCCAGAACCCCGAAATGTTTGAAATTTGAAACTGAATTAATGCCACCTTTCGCAGAAGGTATGAAGATACTTATACAACACCATGCCAGAATTTAGATAGAATATTTCTTTTAAAACATTAAAAATTCCTTTATGGAAAGTTATTTAAAGTACTTCATAAAGCTATTCTACTTTGCAGGTCGCTTATGATTCGTATCAAAATAACTTTGTAATTTTTCACATACCTCACACTCTTCAGTTTCATAAAAATGCGTTAAGTTATCTGTGGCATATCAAAGTATTAAGCTAATGGCATTCATCTACAGTCACTTAATTTTTAAATCCCTAGACAGAACGTATCCAATTTAAGGGTTCTCCTAAATTATGAGCAATTCTTTACTGGCTCTTTGCTCTCTGGATGCTAATTATTACAGCTCGCCTTTGCCCAAAAATTCATATGTAAGCGTAAAATTTTAATGCTGTTCTATCTTGAGTTTAATGACATATCGAAATAAAAAGAAATATTTTCAGGAAAGAGGAAGTATATAAAACTGCGGATGCGAAGGAGAGTTTTAATTTTTCCGCAGAGTGTTCTTTCTTTGAGTGTCACAAATTACTTTTTGATCCTTAATTATAGCACAGCAACTTTTCAAAGTAACATTCTTCCAGTTCGAAATGCGGGCAGCACTTAGGAGAGAGGGAGAATGTTAACGTTGGAACGATTCGCCGAATCATTTACTTCGCAAATGATGCCATTAAAACTGCGACACTGTGTTCTATGTAAGTATAAGGTTTTTATTTCAAAATATCATGTTTCGAGGTCTTGGTTAAAAAAAAATTGTAGTTTCTTTAACGTTTTTATTTTTTAATTTTTTTTATTTATTTTACAGTAACTTGTTTCAGATTTACTATTTAATTTACGAAAATGAAACGAAATGTTGCTGCGAAGCTAAAATAATTGCATATGACTGTACTTGACACTATTATATATGACTAATTTCACTTGAAATACTATCTGAATATGAATCACAATTCCTTTTCTGTATGGAGAGCCTCAACGGTTCAGGGGTCACTATATTTAGGGTAAAACTAATTGTCCTTTTTATTTGAAAGTAAACGCGGTTTTGTAATAAAGTTTTTTTCTACCTTAAATTCCAGTTAAGAACTTAAATTCTAGTTATCTTATGTTAAAACCTAATCTTACTGTTTCGTCTTACTTAGATTATTATGCAATTAAGATAATTTTTAAATGTCCAGTGTAGGCACTGTTGCGACCTGTTGGAGGGATTTTTACTTCCTTGTACGAAGTAAAAAGGAAGTATTGTAATCGCGAAAAGTTTCAGGCATCATATTTCAACGAAAATATCCCTTTTGACCGCTTTCGAATGCAATTTAACGATGGTTTTGGGTGATATATGTACATAAGGACAGAAAAAAAGACTCTTCTCCTCCAAAAAAATTATAAAACTGCTTTAAAATGAAATATGAAGAGAACGTTTCGTGGCGTCTGTACGAACGTATGTACGTACGTATCTCTCATAACTCAAAAACAAGTAGCCTCAGAACGTTGAAATTTTGTATATAGGACTACTATAACATGTAGATGTGCACCTCGTATTTTGGTTGCAATCGGCTGCGCCAAACGTATATAAATATATTTATACATATATCCACTATGTTACCCGACTCAGTGATCTCAATTTCTTTACTCTTATATGTTTGTAAATTGTATATTTTTTGCTTTAAAATGATTGAATTATGTTGTTCTTAGCTTCCGGTTAAGGTTGTTATGCATTTAGTAAATCTGTATGCAAAAGTTTTAGAATTATCAACAATTTAAAAGTTGTTTAAGTGCCGCTAAGCCTAATAAGTTTTTTGATGGCGGCCATTACTTATTTCCATTTGAAACAGCAGGATGGTGGATTTGTTGCCAATCTAGAGAAACTTAACTTCGCAACAACAAAGATAACGTCTTCATTTATTATTGCGAATTAAATCATGCTTAATCCTTTCTGGAATTTTTTCGACGAAATAAGAGTTTAAGATTTACTTCGTAATTTTTAATACAGATATTTTGAGTTTCTATGTATTTTTGCCTTGTCGCGAAGTGAGAACTGAATTAATTAAATGTAAAATACTCAATCCGTCTGTGAAAAACTGTTGCTTTTTTTTTTTTTTTTTCTTAATTTCTTTTATACATCGTTCTATCTTTATTATAGTATTTGAATAGAACATGTGGCAACGATTAGATAATTCTTTAAATGATATAAATTTTGTGCATTCTGAGCTATATAATATGAACGAAATATAATTCTGTTAGGTGTCGGTATGGTAAACAAATACAGCGAATTTTAAAGACTGCATTTATTCTATTGTGGTTTATGCGCTGTCGGCGAAGTAGATTTAATTCAATAAGTTTAAACGAAATGCAAGAAAAAATGCGTATAAATTAATACTCCGTACAAAGAAGTCATGTGGTGTACACATCAGATTTTTTTACTTTGAAAATTTCGTTAGTAGTAGTCGTGCACGTAGCATAGTCTAGAGTTAAGATTAAAATTAAGTTCTTCAGTTGTAAAATATGTGCTTTATTGGTGTATGTCATTCCCTTAAGAAGCAAAAGAAAGATTTTCTAGATATTAATTTTCTACTTTGTCCAGAAGTCAAAATAAACCTTTTGTTGTGTTATTTATATTGTAGTCACTTAGTCTGGTATTGATACATAAAAATCGGGCGAACGTTCGTCTAAATTCTGAATTGAGACACCTTTCTAAATTCGTCAATAAAGATAAATTAGACTAGGATTTAAATGAGTTAAGCAAAACAGAGTTTAATTTTTTAACTTGAAAAATGAAACGAAAATCATTATTAATGGAGTCATGGTAACATTTACAATTTAAACCCCTGTTTTATTTAATAATAATAAGAAAAGTAAAGATATATATTAAAATAAACTGAAGCAAAATTTTTCTTATGGGAAAATGAAAATGCAGTAAATACGTTTAGGAGTTTCTCTAATCGTATTTTACTGAAGCCGTAATACCTTTTAAGTTCTTTGTGTGCAGAACATTAGCTATTTTAATCTACTAGATAAACATATGACTCATTTCTAATCGATAGCATTTAAATTCCCATCTATTATAGTTACAAAGTTTTGTACAATTTGCAGCAGAATTTTACATAATATATGCTTCAAATTACTTTGAGAAAATTTTCAGTTGCTTCGTGCTAAACATTTTAACCATTCCTCAAATTTTTATTATATACTAGCTGTACCCGCCCGGCGTTGCCCGTGCATTTAGAAAATGCAGATAAGTGAATAGCGCAGGAATAGTAGTGTAGGACATGTAGACTGTCTCTCTCTCTTCCCCCCCCACACACACAACATTCCTCGTCGATAAAAAGGAACAATATATCCTAACCATGAGCCATCTGTTAAAAAATTAGTTTAAATGAGAACAGACCTCATATTAGCACATGCTAGGAAACCGTAGTCATGTGGTTATAATCATTGGTCTGAAGTATAAAAAGAAAAGTAAACATAAAAAATTCAAAATCAAAGATAGGAAAGAGTTGAAAGGGAAAGATAGAGAGTACAGTACAGAAAAAATAAAAAGTAACGAAAACATGGATGAAATAAAACATCCTGCTTACAGGAAATTTGGAGTTAAGAACCAATTAAATTTTTAATTTAAGTGTAAGTTAAATTTAGATGACAATGAATTAGAAGAGGAGAGTGTTTGTGTATGTTTGTGGAGCTCGAGCTGGGGTCGCAAGGGCCCCTGACCGATTAATGTCTGTTGGTACGGCAGCACCATTCGGATTATTGCTCATGCTCTCAAGAGAGCACTAAACAATAACATCACTATTTAAAGCATGATAGTCAGAGTTAGTTTGGGAGAGTGGAGTGGCATAATTTTCGTTAGATTGTCCTTTTCGTTAGAGAGCCTCGGGATAAACTATATTTAATGTTCTTCCATTCGGAGCTAAGATGTGTAGATTATCGGCATTACCAACTCTTGAACACCCACGTACAGTTGACCATGGGAGAAACACGGCTTACGGAGGTCGAGCCCTACAACTTTGAGAGATGTCCTTGTGCCTTATTAATGCTCATCGCGAAACTCAAACGAACAGGGAATTTTAGACGCTTAAACTGAAACTGGAGATCGGAAGGGATTATAGGAATTCTTGAAATAAACACATCTTCGCCTGCAGCATGTCCGGTCATGATGGTGGCTTCTATAATATTTGGCATCAGTTTCTTGATAGAAAGTCTTGTTCCATTGCAAAGTGCAGGCGGATCCAGATTCCTGAGGAGAATTATCGGTTGCTCCAACCTTCAAGTCCAATATGTGGGAGGGTACTCCAGGTGGCTCTAATTTGTTGAGAAACTCTGTCGTATAGTTGACAGCCTCGTCAATATTGCATGTCGTGTCTATAGATTTGTAAATATGAAGAGTTCCGGGTAAGTTCTGTAAAAGTGCCTTGTTGATAACACTGACGGCTTCGTTTGTTGGGGCAAGAATTGCTCTTTCGCACAGCCATGCGTGATCAGTGAAGTGGTGAATCACATTCGGAAACACAGCCTCTTTCAGTTCTTCTTCAGTAGTCACAATCCTTCCAATGCCTTGCATCGCTACATATCCATCTTCATTTTCTGAAGTAAGGGCTCCATTTCCTAGTTTCAGTAGATTATCTGCAAACTTTTGGGCAGAGGGATCACCGTTGAGATGAACTCGCATGTTAGTCGATAATCCAAGTGTTTGAATGCCATTCCACATGTAAGAAGATTTTATGCAGACCTGCATTTCATCTGCCCTCGTTCCACGCGGAATAACTGGTAGCGTCTGTCGAAAATCGCCTGCCAAAACCATTACGACGCCTCCCATTCTGTCATTGTTCCGTCTGAGGTCTTTCATGGTGACATCTAATGCTTCGAATGCGGCTTTGTGGGACATGGTACACTCGTCCCAAACGATGAGCTTGCAATCCTGTCGAACCTTTGCCTTTCCTGAATTCCTTGGGATGTTACACGTTGGAGTCTCTGTGCTTGTCAGATTTAAGGGTAACTTGAACGCCGAGTGAGCAGTCCTACCACCTGTCAAGAGTGTAGCAGCAATGCCGGATGAAGCGACAGCCAGGGCAATCTCATTTCTGTGCCGCACCTTTGCCAAAATAAGGTTGATAAGAAACGTCTTCCCGGTTCCGCCTGGCGCATCCAAAAAGAATATACCCCTTTGCCTATCAAAAACTGCTCTAGTAATCTTGTCAAAGGCTTCTTTTTGATCTTGGACCAATTTAGGCTCATTCTCCTGTATATAAGCTGCGAGCACATCCATGTTATAACTTCGTTCTCTAATTACTTCACTGGAAATGGCAGAATCGCTGTTTCTGTTAGGTTGGGGAAGTCCAAAGCTTTTCAGGTTCAATCCTCCTAGAGATATTATCTTGTTCTCAATGTAGATTAGGGCTCTGTTAAAGATGTCGTCACTGTAGTCCAGGTCCATATTCTGCTGCTGGATCCTTGCTTGATGCAGTATGTCTTCAGACAGGTTCTCCCTGTGGTTCATCCATAACTGTTCAGGGCCCGACATGGAGCACGTTTGAAGCATTACAGCAAACAGATTACGCATCATCTTGGGTGATCGAGATGCAGCTGCTTCTTCTAACGCCGTGTTCCAGTGTTCGTCATTCTCCAGAAGTCCTTGAAGTTGGCAGGCCTCTTTGAAAGTGTTGCAGACTCTTCCTTGAACGGTTCTCAAATCCGTGAATGATGTTGGGCCTCTAACTTCATGTAGTAATAGGCGAAGGTGGAAGCATTCGGAGTTGTTGGGATGGACGGTGGGGTAGACACGGCCAAGAGCATCAGTAGACCGGATTCCTGTTTCTTCTGGAACAATTTGTCCTTGTTTACGGCGGTTCCAACTCTTGTTCCTGCTGTTCCATGTGTAGTACTTTGGAATTTGGTTGTAAAGTAAATTGCGAGCAAAGTTATCTTGGGTGCACAGCTTGAAGAAAGAAGATGTGAGCGTTGTTTCCTGGGGTGCCTGGACCCGTTCAGCAGCATTTTCTTCAGTGAAGTACACTCTCTGGCCATTTTCAAGGTGGACGCTTAGATAAACGACTGTGGGATGACGTTCGTGGATTGGAAAGTTGAGTATTTCTCACACTGCTTCATTGCTGCTAATGTATCTTCCCATCTCATATTGATGAATTTCATTCAGTTCATTGGCTCCACTGGTGACATCAAATACAGCCATGTCGGATCCTTTATTGACATACTTGCATACATACTTTATGGACTTGACAGAATTGCAGTACTCAACGTTGATATGTGCGTTAAAAAATTTTGGATAGTAGTGGACAGTAAGGAACAATCCAGGCATTGTCCACCGAAACTTCTGATCCTCGTAGATTGATGCTTGCTGTAAAACCTCCATCTGCAGGGCTTCTACGACGATACAGTGGATATCCGTCTTGTCCCGTCTGCGTCTCTTTCAAGAACTGGCGAGGGAGGGTATCGCTCTCTTGTCGATTTTATTTTCCAAACATTTCTTTTTTCGAGGTGGCTGCGGCATATTTCTTCTAAAATCTGAAAAGCAAAAGTTAAGCAACCAACAGAAGAATGATTACAAAAACTGAAGAAAACGCTACAATAAAGAAATCAATTGTTATAATCGAAAACGTTATTTGAAAATAAATAATAGCAACACGATCAGTGAGTCAAAAAAACCACGATAATATTAATTAAGAAAAAAAAAGTTTAAAAAAAAAAAGAAATTAATGTGTCATGAAAACAGCAAACTAAAGCTACAAAAAAGAAATGAATTGTAATTAATCGATTTAATGTATCGTCAAAACAGCAAACTTACGCTAGAATAAAGAAATCAATTGTTACAATCGAACGTTATTTGAAAACAAATAATAATATCAGTGAGTCAAAAAAACCGTGATTAATTAATTATAAATAATTTTTTTAAATTTTTCTAATTCAAAAATCGAAAATCGGGCTTCGAGGTCTGGTGGCCAGCCCCTTTGTGCTTCCGTATAAAAAATTCCAGGTCCCTGCGTGCCATAGATTTGGCTGGAGAGCTCGGTCAGACAGACAGACAGACAGACAGACTTACACTTGCTTTTATTATTATAGACTATATCAGATACTCCTGTATTTTTGCGTGATGTAAATATGTAGCAGTGATAAATTATGTAAGCAAATATTCTCACGGAAAAAAAAAAACAATCTGAAAATAACAATGGGTGAACAATAATAAAAATGCGAGATCGTTCATTTTTTATGAACACTAGGTGAATTTTATAACGAAGCAAATATTTTGTAAAGCATAGTGTTATGAATGCTCACCGATAATTCGTTTTCTTCCACTTCATCTCCTATCAAAAGAAGAAAAATAGTATTACTTCAGGTTGTCAGCTCCATATTTCTAGAATGATTTCAACGCATGATTTGGTAGGAGAATATCCAATACCTTGAAATATACATAGATTGTTTATGAATGGTTGAAAAAACGCAGTTCTCTCTTCCTCTCATTGCCTCCAAAGGAAACAACTAACACTTGTTTCTAGGCTGAAGATATTGTTATTTGTCATTACGTAATATAAGCAATAAGAGTTGCTTCGTGAAAGATGTTGAAAAGAAGGGAAAGAAACAAGTGTTTATTGATTGCTTTTATTTATGGGTAGTGCATCGTTTGAAATATATACACATGCATTATCAAAACCAAAATTTTCTTCTTGTAATAATGAACAGTATCATTTTCTTTATCATTGACCAAACAATTTGAATTTGGATGCGATCCTAATTTTAGAGAAGCCGTGGTTTTAAAAGCTGTTGCAAGAGAGGCAGGAGTGTTTCTTCGCATTCTTTCAATCATTGAAAAAATATAAATAAATAAATAAAAAGGTGGTGTGTGGTGTATTTAATTACGGCAAAGCACACTAGGGCTATCTGCCTAAGGGAAGAGATGCCTTCGTGGAGGACTTTCTAAGGGAAACTAGCTCGTATACACGTTACACATGGGGAAAACCACGAAAACACCCATGCAGCCAGCCCGTTCGCGGGATTCGAACCTCGGACCGAACTACCAGTGTTCAGCGACTTTACCGCTTGGTCGCTGGTTAGCCCATATAAATAAAAAGGAGGAGGTGAATTCGTACGTTGCGGGCTTGACGGCGTAAGCGGGTTTTGGGCCTATTTTTTGATTCCCTGGTAAAAGTCAAGCTAGCCGCAAAGAAATTTTGCTGTTAAGTCCGTTTTTTTTTTTAGGCCATGAAACAAATTTTGGAAGTAAGATTCAGGGTATTCTTCTCAAAATTCATTATCAGAATTTTAAAACACCTTAGAGAACTTGCCACGCGGAACTAGCTGACCTTGAATGGTGTTTACTTGCGCTTTGGCTCTTAACCGCGTGAAGGAAAACATGGACTGTATTCTCCTCACCATGAGTCGTCTTTCGTTTATAACTTTTTACCAGAGTGTATTTTAAGTGAGGATAATTGCAGTGTGCCTAACTCTAATTGGTCTAAAAGGAATTCAAATTTTTGTGGTCGATATAAAAATTGAAAGTGCTTAAATAATTTTAAATGTTAATGAGAGAATTAGAAATTTCTATGTTTAAGTTGTCTAAGTTTATGAAGACTGAAGGTTTTAAAATGAGAAATTTTAGTGACATAATGAGTTCAATATAAATGTTGTAATGATTAAAAGATAAACAGTTTAAGGTATTTAAAAGTATAAAATGATGTAAAAGAAAATGTATTTTTAACAATTTGAAATGTGATTATGTTTAAAAGAAAATATTGTAGGGAACTGGATCCAGTTACCCCAGCTATTAAAGCTTATGTTAATTAGGGATTTATAAATGTGTTTTAAATCTAAATTTTTGCTTATGCTTAATTTATTGATTTATCATGTCCTCGCATGAGATCCTTACCAGTCTGTCTTATTAGGAAAACATAGATCTTTCAAAACGAGCTGGGTAATTTATTGCAGTCTGGTTGTGGAATTAATTATTTGAATTATAGGATCAGATTTATTACATTATTTGAACTGGTGTCTGATTTCTTACTTGTGTGCATTATCCTCTCCCTAGTGTTTTTAGGTGTTCTGCATTTGTATTTCAATAAAAAGCGTTTGTGCCTATACCTATCGAGGTTCGCTTTTACTGGAAAGTCAAAGGATATAGCATTATTTTATAGAAATTTTTTTTTTTTTTTTTTTGAATTTGAAAATGAATTGCATTTTACATTTTGTTTAAAAATAATCATTTTTGATTTTAAACCGAGGCACGAGGGAGGATATCATTTCATTTCAGTCTCAAAGATTTGACTCCAAAATTTTGATCTTTTAAGTAATATAATGTTGCGTGTGCGTTCGTAATGGATTGAATGCGCACAGAACCGATGATCGCTTGGTAAAATATATTTTTCACGAAAGAAACACTTAACTTTACTCTAAAGTACTGGTTATATAGGTTACATAAAAGTTCCGCAAAAGTACACAACGTAATAGAAACTGATAACTAATGCTCTCTCTGGTCTTATATAGTTTCCCCCGCCCGACGAGAAATCACTCGTACCTTCCATTTCTCGAAATCACTGGGAGACATAAACAATTTAAGTTACATATACGCGCCGAATACGGTTGAAGTTACATAACGTAATCAATTACATTTATTCAATTACAGTATGATTTACACTTGGGGAATAGACAAAGATAATACGGAACAGACACACAGGGACGAGACAAAAATGTCGCCAATTTCTCATCAAGTTTGGTGACTTTTGACGTTTTCTTGCGAATTTTGGGACAAAAAGTAGTCGCCCAAACAGTCTCCAGTTTAATGATATCTCGGCAATTTAGCGAGATAGGCATTTACCTCTGTTGTTAAATAGACTTGCCCTTGTAATCTCATTTTTCCGGCAGAACTTTGCCTCTTGAGGCATTTCATGTTACATTATATAAAATATACTATAATTTTGCGTATAATTTGACTAAAATTATTTACATATGTAAATGTAGTTAATTTTTTTCACAATATTTTTTAAATGCATGTAAACAGCAACCCATCGACAGCAAATTTTCATAAATTTCTACATTTGCAAACAATTCTTTTTGCACTTAAATATCACAAATAACGCATTTGATGTTAGTCACAAAATAATTTGCATTATAGAAATATTAAATAAAAATCTATTTTTAGTATATTCGTAGAATACATGCCAGTAAGGCCTTATGCATGTCTCTGATTAATGCTCGTATTAGATATCGCATTAAATTAAACGAATCAAATTTCGCTTTTTTTATTTTGTGGTTTAGTTAGTTATGAGAATAAGTTAAATCAAGATTTCAGAAACAAATTTATGTGAGTTTTGAGAATGAATATTATGAAAGCAATATTATGGATATATATGCTATGTGTAAGTTATTCATAAAATACAGCGCCATTTAAAATTATTATGACTTAGTTAAACTTACATTTCTTTTAAACTTTGCGCTCACTTTTTGGTATTTTCTTACATGTTGAATTAAAAATTCTTCAACTTCAGGATTACTACAAATGCTTCTACAAAAGTACTGTTGCAAATTTTGTACTTAGATAGGTACTTTTAGTATAATTGTAAGCAAAATTGTATTTTTCTGTGTAATGTAGCGCAAGACAAGTTTTAAGAGAAAGTGCACTTAACATTGAGTAAGTGGTATCTCGCTAACTTGGTGAGATATCGCCAAGCTAACAACTGTTTTGCCGACTATTTGGCGACATTTTAGCCCGGTTCCTGTATCAGGACTTGTATTCCTCTTGACTTGCTTGGGAAACATGAACTGTCCTGACTCGGAACAGGGAGCTTACTCAAACTATGTTCAATAAATTGTGAAGTAGACAATACACACAGGAAGAGTATACGAAACCCTTTTTTTTTTCTATCTTTACAGGTATTTACGGAACTTCGGAGCACAGAGACCAACCACTTGTGGTCTGAACGTAATAATATAAAACTACTAACTAAAACTCTAACTAAAACTAACTTTGAATTAATATACAAGTGCCTAGCATTAAGATTGGCCTTTATTTAACAAAGCCGTGTGTGTGTGTGTGTTATTATGGCAAAGCCTCGAGGGCTATCTGCCTAACAGGAGGGATGCCTTCGTGGAGGACTTTCTAAGGGAAACTGGCTCGTATACACGTTACACATGGGGAAAACCACGAAAACGCCCATGCAGCCAGCCCGTTCGCGGGATTCGAAC